GTGATTGCAGGAATAAGTGCAGTCCCACAGTGGCAACCTTCTACACAAGTCTGAACCTAGCCTATATGACTTGCTACATGGTTACAACATTGCCGTCTTACAACTGGGGAAGAACAAACCTAGGCAATTATTCCTCTTTCCTGCAGTAGACTAAATACATTATTTCAGCCTAAACCACAGGTTGTAGTGCTTGATTCCCCCATCAACACAGTTTGTGTTGATAGGAATATCCCTTCCGCCAAGCTATTGTGTTCTCCTGGTTTGGCATGGAGGGAGCCATCCCTGCCAGGAGAACACAGTGATTACGGCTAGTAGCTATAGCCACTGGCAATAATCACATGGAAAATACGAAAGCCTAGTTGTACCCAACTCGTACATCAATTAAATTTGGTAAAATCAGCCTGCCCATAGATAGTTTAGAATCTCAGCTGATCACTGAATTGGCCAAGATTTTAACCATCTATGGCCATCTTAAGCAAAGAAGTCAAAGGATATACAATTCATGAATAAAAGTAGCACTTTTTGGACTTGTAAAGCTACTGAAAGATCCACCTTATTAATATGAATACTGCAAAATAGTTCTCGGTGAATGACATTATGCACAAAAAAAAGGAGATTACTTCGGTTTCCTTGTACAAAAATATTAGATGTATTTTCATTTGTAACAGATTCTCTTTTGGATTGAATTACATTGTAAATATTGTTTTATTTACTGCAGCTTTTTCACATGTAACTACTTTAATTCTTCTGAGTTCTAGTTGTGCTTGCAACAGTGGAGTTTTGACATTGAGATCCACAAACAGCTATCTTTGAAATCCAAAACACTTTCTGGCCACAAATATTCTACTAATAGGTGTTGCCTGATTGCTCCACTTGCTTTAAAATGATCTCAGATAGAGTAATGCCTTCTATTTTGTAGTTTTGACAATTACAGTTCCCTTAACACAGAACTCCGAAAAGGATTATTTTTTTCTAAGTGCCTTAGAAAGTATTAAATGACAGCTTTCGCTGTTTTTATCATCTTTCAAGTATAGCCAAGTCATTAAAGGAGAACAAAATCCAACAATAAGGCAATCTCTAGCCGCAAGAACACTGCACAAAAAAATTATAGGAACACTTTTTAATCAGAGTATAGCATCACATCACTTAAACTCCTGGGATATTGATCTGGTCAGTTAAGTGGCAGAGGGGGTTGGTAATCAGTTTCAGCTGCTTTGGTGTTAATGAAATTACCAACAGATGCACTAGATGGGTAACAATGAGATGACCCCTAAAACAGGAAAGGTTTTACCGGTGGAGGCCACTGACATTTTTTCTATACTCATCTTTTCTGTTTTTCACTAGTTTTGCATTTGGCTAGGGTCAGTGGTACTACTGGTAGCATGAGGCGATACCTGGACCCTACAGAGGTTGCACAGGCAGTAAATCACCTCCAGGATGGCACATCAATATGTGCCATTGCCAGAAGGTTTACTGTGTCTCCCAGCACAGTCTCAAAAGCATGCAGCAGATTCCAGGAGACAGGCAGCTACTACAGGAGAGCTGTACAGGGCCGTAGAAGGTCCTTAATCCATCAGCAGGAGCAGTATCCACTCCTTTGTGCAAAGAGGAACAGGATGGGCACTGCCAGATCCCTACAAGACCTCCAGCAGACCACTAGTGTGAAAATCTCTGACAAAACAATCAAAAACAAACCTCATGAGGGTTGCCTGAGGGCCCAATATCCTCTAGTGGACCTTCTGCTCACTTCCCAGCACCATAGAGCTCAATTGGCATTTGCCATTGAACACCAGAATTGGCAGGTCTGTCACGGACAACCTGTGCTTTTCACAGATGAGAGTAGGTTCACCCTGAGCACATGTGACAGATATGAAAGGGTCTGGAGAAGCCATGGAGAACATTATGCTGCCTGTAACATCATTCAACATATTTTGGTGGTGGGACAGTAATGGTCCAGGGAGGCATATACATGGAGGGACGCGCAGACCTATACAAGCTAGACAATTGAACCCTGACTGACATTACGTATCGGGATGAAATCCTTGGGCCCATTGTCAGACCCTACACTGGTGCAGTCTGTCCTGGGTTCCTCCTGGTGCACGACAATGCCCAGACTCATGTGGTGAGAGTATGCAGGCAGTTCCTGGAGGATGAAGGAATTGATACCATTGAATGGCCCCCGCCTTGCCTGACTTAAATCCAATAGAACACCTCTGGGATATCATTTTTCGGTCCATCCAAAGCCACCAGATTGCACCTCAGACTGTCCAGGAGCTCAGTGATGCCCTGGTCCAGATCTGGGAGGAAATACCCCAGGACACCATCTGTTGTCTCCTTAGGAGCATGCCACAACCATGTCAGGCATGCATACAAGCACGTGGGGGTCATACAAACTACTGAGTACCATTCAGAGTTGCTTCAATGAAATTTCAGCAAAATGGACTAGCCTGCTGCTTCATGTTTTCACTTTGATTCTCAGGGTGTCTTTGAATTCAGTCTTCTGTAAGTTGATAATTTTCATTTCCATCAAATGATGGGGCATCCTTACGTTCCTAACACATTACCTAGTTCATATCAGTATAGATCATCAATATAATGAACAAATATATTCAGCACTCACACAATGATAAATAGGATGGTAACTGATAACTACACATAGATGAATACATGAAAAATTGGAACCGACTGTAGAATGGATGTTGGGACAGCTGTCAAAAAGTCAATACATCTATAGAATGGGCAGAATGAAGAGGAAGTTGACCAAGGGAACAAAGCACGTAGGATGGGACCGGCAGCTCCTCATCAAGGATGTGGGGGATCCCTTGAAGACAAGCATAATAGAAAGGTGGGCACCAGGTCAGTGTAAGTTAAAAAAAGTTTCTATGTTTTTAACTTACACTGACCTGGCGCCCTCCTTTCCCTTCTGCATTTCTGTATACATATCCAGCATGATATTTTTCTCCATTGAAATCTGATGTGTTTTCACTGCTCTGATGAGGCTGCACTGATGGGCACTAATAGGCTGCTTAGATGGGCATTTGATGAGGAGGTACTGTTGAGGCTGTACCGATATGCAGCACTGATGGGCAGATATAGGCGGCACTTATGAGCATTGATAGGTGGCACTGATGGGCCTTGATAGGCAGCACTGATGGGCACTGATAGACGGCTTGGATGGGCACTGACAAGCATCACTGATGGGTACTGACAGGCAGCACTGATGGGCACTGATAGCCAGTACTGATGGGCACTGACATCCAGCACTGAGGAGGCACTGATAGCCAGCACTGATGGGCACTGATACAAAGCACTGATGGGCACTATGGGAATGGATGGGGCCATGGACAGGGCACTGTTGATCAGTGTAGATGTCCCCTTTCAGAAATGCTGCATACTGGCTCTCCTCACTCGCTGTAATCGCGAGGAGAGGACTGCCAAAAAAACGGCATTTCCTATTTACACTGTGATCAGCTGTGATTGGACACAGCTGATCTCATGGTAAAAGGTGGCTCTTACTGGCTCTTTACCTGGACACGTGATCAACTGTGTCCGAAAAACACAGCAATCAAAGCTTGTACACGGTGCGTGCCCTAGTGGGCATGTGGGGGGTGTGGTTCTGGGGGGATGTCCATGTAGCTGTCTTTTGGCTATAGCATGGTTGGGAGCTGGTAATGTTCTTGAAAACTATTTTTCAACCTCAGTGTGAAGTTGCTTTACGTTTCTACAATTGTTCAATTGTTCTAAAAATTCAATGCAATATGACAACATGGCAGTAGACAGAATGCACCCAGAAATAACATTTCTTACTTGTGTGATTGACTCACCGATTTTTTTCAGGTGTCTGCACTAAGATACAAGTAAAATCTAGGCATCCCTTGCAATACAATTTTCATTCTTGGTAAGATACTCCCTAAGAGTTAGCTACTTCTAAATGGATGCAGACACTGCAGAGTTTCTCATTTCAAACACTGAAATGCACCAGATACATATAATGAACACGCACCTTCCCAGAAGAGAGTCTAGAAAGCACTTAGTAAAGCAAACAGCTTCTTCTTCAGAACTCTGTAGCTCTGCTACAAAGTTTGGTAATATCCTTGCAATGTGCATTGATCAGCCTGAGGTGATTTTTGTTTCTTAATAAAAGTTACACTTTAAGCCCTCTCTTTTGTTATGACTTTCTCTGCATTTGCTCTCTGTCATCCTATGCTGTCTGCCCCTGCAAAGGCCAGTTATAGGTTGGGGCAGTATACAAATGTTTCCCAGCAATCAAACCCATTAGCCAGCAAAATACCTACTTTAAAATCTAATAATAAAAAAATAATTTAACAGTTTTGTACATATTTGTAAATATATGATACATCTATATGTGCAATGTATCGTAGACCATGCTTTAATCTGCAGACTAGGAATTTAAGTCGCATTTAATAAACTGAGAGCATATTTACCTGGGCCCTTTGATTTAGACACATTTGAAGTCACTAACTTAGATTGCTGCATGCTTTTGCTAGAGACAACAAACATTACATGTAAACTGTAAGGTTCAGTATGCAAGGATGTTCTCTGAAAAAAGCCACATTAGTGCTGAATATGTATTCATGCTGCTGGTTTATGGTCTCATCCCAGTGTTTAGTATGATTATTGGTATTTAATATGACATTTTCTATGCAATGTTCAATCAGAAATCAGAAAGTACTGTAATACTCAACAGCAGTTAAAGGGGCTGATAACTGTCAAAGATCAAAGGTGAATTGTGCTTGGCTTTTGTAGTGGTATAGCCAAGACAACAAAGGAAAAGCAAGAGAAATAGTATGCCCTACTGTGGAGGATAGGGGTGTGGGTTAGGGACAAAAGAACCTCATATCTCTGCTTATTTAAACTAAGGTCTTGGCCTATTCAGAGTTCCTGTGACAAAGAAAATGTCCGCAAGATCTAAATTGTTGTATAAGAGTTTATTTAGTTAACCTCCCTAGCGGTATTCCCGAGTGTAGCTTGGGGTAAAGTTTCAGTACCAAAAGCGGTAACCCCGAGCTACACTCGGGCTTACCATGCAGCGTTGCTCAGGGATTCCCTGCAGCGCTTACCTTGTCCTTCGCTCCTGCGATGCGTCCCCTGCAACATCCCCGGCCATCTCCTCCAGCTGATGCCGGCATCCGGCTTCCGTGTTCCAATCCCTGCGAGCGTACGGGACGTACGGGGGCCAGAACCAGCGGCAAATTTAAACATTTAAAAAATTTACATTTTCTAATACACTAAAATCACATAGTAAAACATTACTGTTTCAAACCATTTCACATACATTTTGTCCCTAGTGCTTTGTCTTGTCCCCTGCCTGCATTTTTACTGTTCTTTCTGCCTGGAAACTTAGAAAAGTCCATCTAGAGATCAGCAATAGTAAATCAGAACCACTTGCAGAATTCAGTGATAATGTTTTTGGTTTGATTATATTATTGAATTAAATTTATTTATTATTTATATTATTATTTTTTATGATTATTTATTAAATTATAATTTATGATTTTGTGTACCAAGTTTTTATCCTACCGGAATGTTTACTAGACTCTTGTTCGGACAGATTTCAGTGAGTTATTCCTAAAAATGACAAGCCTACAATAAAAAAAACGACATATTTCCATGCAAAAAAAGTACCGCTTTCAGCACAGAAATATGGACATAATCAGACCGCTAGGGAGGTTAATTACTGTATGGTGATGAAAAATTGCATTCTGTTCAGTTACACTTATGCCAATTCACAAGTCAAATCACCATATATGACTATATGGTAGGGGGAACTAAAACCTGGGGCTCATAAATGTCAGAAGTCTGAAATAATGGCAACCAATAGAGTGGAAGTTAATGGTCAAGGAGATGTAGGCATGTCCTCATATGACTCACTGAATCATGATCCTCACCTAATGTACAGATACAGGAATGAAATAGTTTGACCTGTGTATTATGCCTAGGATTAGTGATGGCAAAATATTTTTCTTAGATTTTTACCAAATTATTTTTGCAAATATAAATCCTATCACAGATAGCACATAGGACAAGAATGATCCTAGTTCTAGCTAAAGCATATTACTTGGAGCCTTTAGTTATAATGATAGCCACCAAAAAGCTATAACCAGCAGTAAGTATTTAGCAGAATATGACAATATAAAACAGCAGAGCTTCATTTAGCTGTTACTTTTCATAAACTTGTGTTTGTGTTTAATAGTTGGTTACCTACAGTGGATTACAAGATGTAGAAAGGACCCTAGGTTCTAAGCACAGAAAAACTATATGGCTTCACATAGTGGGAGTTGACTCTTTTATTAAAAACTGTATGTGTTTATCTTCACTGATAAAAATTGGAATTTGTCTTTAAAGAAAAAAAAAGGAAATCATTTTTAAGAAATTAAGTTGTTTGGAAATGTTTCATGTTCTATTTTTCTGAAAGATTTATGAAGCCAAAATACTTGATTGCAGAGAGAAATGTAGTCTTCAATGGGAAATATACTGCTTGCAATTTCTCTTATAGATAACGTAGAAATAGCTTGAGATCTAACATAAAAATAAGTATATTAGTGGCTTGAACATGTGTATAATGAGTTTAATTTGTTGACCCCCCCATACTTGCAATTAATGATAAATACATATACAATCATAAATAAGCAGGAATTAGATGTTCCCTGGCATCTTATTGGACTTCCAGACTTTGCCCTTCATTAATGGGGTGACAAAATATTGTATTTATATATAGTAAAATGTAATATTGTACAGAACTGTTAAATGCAGCTCTGTGTAATGCAGCCATCCTTTGAATTCCTGCAGAAATCTTACATTAACTTTACAAATGCCACGGGATCCTCAAAACACAGAGCATTCTGATACTTGCATATCCATTTTCAGTGCAAGAGTTTAAAGATGGCCCATTTTGGGATCTTGAGGTTGCCCATCAAGTTACAAAACCAGTGGAGAGTTGTGGAATAGGGTGGGTTAGTCTTCAGTTTTTTGTAGAAAAGTCAAGGGTTTCATATTAGAGCAACATGAGTCCCTCCCTCATGCCAGGGTACTAGGTGTATTCCTGGACTCTGTGCGGTCCTTTCAGCCCCAAATAAAAACACAGTCCAAATCCTGTAGACTTCACATCCATAACATCTCCAAAATATGCCTTTTTTAACCGTTGAAACCACTAAGCAACTTACTCATTGTTATCTCTTGCCATGACTATTGTAACTCTTTCCTCATAGGGTTACCCCTTCACATGCTATCCCCTCTTCATTCTATCATGAATGTTGCTACCAGACTCATCTATCTTACCAACTATTCAGTATCCACCACCCCTCTCTGCAAATCCCACTACTGGCTTCCCATTGCTCAATGAATAAAATTCAAAACATTAACAGTAACACACATAACCATTTACAACTCTGCCCTGAGCTACATCACCAATCTTATCTCCAAATATTACCCAAACCGTCCTCTCCATTCCTCCCAAGGCCTCCTGCTCTCTAGCTCCCTTGTCGCCCCATCCCATGCTCATGTATATGACTTCTCCAGAGCCTCTCCCATCCTCTGTAACGCTCTTACCCCAATCTTTCTGGCTATATCCTACTGTGTCTACTTGGCTATTGTACTGTCACTATAATACTGTATGTCTGAAAAGTGGACTGAACATTTCTCCTGTGAGACTCATTTTCACCAAAAGTGATCCCAATGGGGGATTGCATTCAACTGAAAACATTGTTTAACCTCTTACCGTCTGCCCATTGCATATAGGTGATGTATGGGAAGCTTTCCTGATGTAGGCTAATGTACCTGTATGTCAGTCCACATCAGCTACTCCTGCATGGCTCACAGACTTCGCACCAAGAGCCCAGCAATCAAATTACGCCAAGTCTGGGCAATCACATGGTGTTTTACTATGTGACTGCTGTGTCCATTCTCAGCACTCACATAGTAAACACTGTAAAGTGAAACTAAAAATTGTTTTTTCTCCACTCTCAGTGTTGCTGCATGTACACTCACAAACTGCAGTGCCAGCCACCCCCAGTGTCCCAGTTTAGTGCCCCTGTGTCCCTGATCACTGCCCCAGTATATAATATATATACAGTCATGGCCGAAATTGTTGGCACCCTGATATTTTTCCTGAAAATCAAGTATTTCACACAAAAAAAGGTATTGCATTAACACATGTTTTGCTATACACATGTTTATTCCCTTTGTATGTATTGGAACAAATATAAAACAGAGGCAGAAAAGCAAATATGACATAATGTCACACAAAACCCCAAAAATGGGCTGGACAAAAGTATTGGCACCCTTAACTTAATATTTGGTTGCACACACCCTTTGGAAAACATAACTGAAATCAGTCGCTTCTATAACCATCAATAAGCTTCTGACACCTGCTCACCCGGAATTTTGGACCACTCTTCCTTTGCAAACAGCTCCAGGTCTCTCATTATTGGAAGGACACACATTTTTTCCCAACAGCAATTTTAAGATCTCTCCACAGTGTGTTCAATGGGATTTAGATCTGGGCTCATTTGCTGGCCACTTCAGAACTCTCCAGCGTTCTTTGCCATCCATTTCTGAGTGCTTTTTGACGTATGTTTGTAGGGTCATTGTCCTGCTGGAAGACCCAGGATCTTGGACGCAAACCCAGCTTCTGACACTGGGCCCTACAGTGCGACCCAAAATCCTTTGGTAATCCTCAGATTTCATGATGCCTTGCACACAGTCAAGGCACCCAGTGCCAGAGGCAGCAAAACAACCCCAAAACATCATTGAACCTCCACCATATTTTTACCGTAGGTACTGTGTTTTGTTCTTTGTAGGCCTCATTCCGTTTTCGGTAAACAGTAAATGATGTGCTTTACCGAAAAGCTCTATCTTGGTCTCATCTGTCCACAAGACGTTTTCCCAGAAGGCTTTTGGCTTACTCAAGTACATTTTGGCAAACTGTAGTCTTGCTTTTTTATGTCTCTGTGTCAGCAGTGGGGTCCTCCTGGGTCTCCTGCCATAGCGTTTTCATTTCATTTAAATGTCGACGGATAGTTCGCGCTGACACTGATGCTCCCTGAGCCTGCAGGACAGCTTGAATGTCTTTGGAACATGTTTGGGCTGCTTATCCACCATCCGACTATTCTGCGTTGCAATCTTTCATCAATCAAATTTTCCTCATCCGTTCCCACGACCAGGGAGATTAGCTACAGTGCCATGGGTTGCAAACTTCTTGATAATGTTGCGCACTGTGGACAAAGGCAAATCTAGTTCTCTGGAGATGGACTTGTAACCTTGAGATTGTTGATATTTTGCCACAATTTTGGTTCTCAGGTCCTCAGACAGTTCTCGTCTCCTCTTTCTGTTGTCCATGCTTAGTGTGGCACAGACAGACACACAATGCAAAGGTTAAGTGAACGTCTCTCTCCTTTTTTTATCTGCTTTCAGGTGTGATTTCTATATTGCCCCCACACCTGTTACTTGCCCCAGGTGAGTTTACAGGAGCATCACATGCTTGTAACATTCTTATTTATCCGCAGTTGTGAAAGGGTGCCAATACTTTTGTCCAGCCCATTTTTGGAGGTTTGTGTGACATTATGTCGAATTTGCTTTCTTCCTCCTCCCTTTTTTTTTTTTTGTCCCAATACACACAAAGGGAATAAACATGTGTATAAGCAAAACATGTGTTAATGCAATACGTTTCGTGAGAAATACATGATTTTCAGGAAAAATATCAAGGGTGCCAACAATTCGGCCATGACTGTATATATATATATATATATATATATTATATATATATATAAATAAAATAAAATAGTACAGCCAGACCCACCACCTATCCCAGTGTGCACAAAAACACCCACATACACCATGCCAATGTCCTGATCACTGACATATCGGTGTTCTGGCTGCCGCCATACCACAAACCAATGCCGTGATCACTGCCATACCATATACCAACACCCTGATCACTTCCAACCACCCATACCAGCATCCTGATTACCGCCATACACCATACCAGTGCCCTGATCATTGCCATGCCCCATATCAGCATCCTGATCACCGCCATGCCCCATACCAGCATCTTGATCATCTCATATGCCATACCAGCATCCTGATCACTGGTATACATACCCCATACCAGCATCCTGATCACCGCCATAATACCAACCCCATACCACCATCCTAACCACACATTCCCATGTGCCATACAGCACCCTGATCAGCGCAATACTGATACCAGCATCCTGATCACTGACACACCAGCATCCTGATCACCGCCAACCACCATACCAGCACCCTGATCTCCGCCATACCTCATACCAGCTTCCTGATCACTACCATATGCCATACCCCATACCAGTGTC